TTAGACAGGAAAAAATTAAGACGAGACCTGTAGTTCAATCTGAATGATATGTTGTTTTCAAACAGATAAATTTAAACTGATGGGCTAATGGGAGAAACTGACAGTCACTTTGACCTCCTTTAGCATATCTGTTTTCAGGACATGAAAAATCTGGTCTACACAGCATTTGCTATCCTATCCTCCTATTGTATCTATCAGTTCTAGACAAAGGTTTTTTCTTTCTATCTATTAAAATATTGAGATGATATTCAAACTGATTTCAGTAGAATTAAGTATCATAACCAATTAAAAGTTCAGTCGGCCTAACTTGGAATTTGTCCCCAAATAATGAAATAGAAATTAAATCTTTAAACCTTCTTTAAAAAAAAAAAGTTTTTAATTTTTTTTTAAGACAAACAAACATTTAGTACATCATTCATTTCTTCCATGTGACATCTCGGTGTTATCTCCAAAAACAACTTCTTTTCTATTATCTCTTCTATCTTCGTTCTCGCCAAGTCCATTACAAAAATTTTTCACTAATACAATATTCTAATTATAACATTTTTTATCTATCTCTATTAATTAACTTATTTATATCTCTTTTCTAATCAATAGTAAAACTGATTCCATATCTTAAAATATTCTGAATCTTCTCTTTCTTTTATCATCAATCTTTAAACCTTCTAACCAATCTGATCCCTGTCGATGGAAGCCACTGTCTCTGGTTTTGTTCTCTTTGACTCACTCTTATTTCATAAACTGATAAAGCATATACTTTATCACAACTGTTTTCAGACCCTTTTACAAATCCAGAAAGCCTAGGTCATTTCCAGCTTTTGAGGCCTTTACTCATAAAAGAAATTTAAAAAATGACAAAGTGGGGGGAAAAAATACACACAAATGATGCAACAACTTCAAATGTTTGGCAAATGTCTTAATTAACTCAGCACTAATGTTTTAATTATGCTCTTTGCCGACAAGCTGAGCAGAACACACAACTGATAATTTGCAATGTTACGATTCAAGCTGTCATTTAGCCCTGAGCGCTGCACTTTGAAACATTTTATATGTACTTGCCTTTGGCAGCGTGTGGAATATGATTTACACATAATACTAATGACCATATCAGCTTCCATATATAGATAAAGTAGTGAGAAGATATGGGAACATTCAGAGCAGGGTGAGGCACTGGATTGTATTTTCTTTTAATGTTTCCAAAGAAACATAGGATGGTCATGCACTGACACTCATGCTGAACCCCATTAGAAGAGAGAGAGAGAGAAAAAAAGAAATTATAAGACTTACATCCCACCACCTGAAAATTCATTATTCAACTCATGATTTATGTGTAGCAATTGTAATATTTGTTCATTAAAGAATGTAGAGAATACCAATTATGCCAGTGAAATTTATATTTGATTAAGCTTGCTACAAGATGTTGGACATGCCTTCCATCTTTGCTTTTTTTGCAGCCAGGGGAGATTGTAGATGACCTGAGGAATGAGAAGCAAACAGTCTCTTTAATATCTGCTGAAGCTTTTATTTTTCTTGTCAGGCTGAAGGGGCAGTTACTGACCCTAACTTTCAGCTAAACTATTTGCTCTTCAAGAAGCACATCTAATTTAGCAAATAAATTTTATCAAGATGAAATAGTTCTAGTTGAGGAGCTTTGTTTCATTTGGTGGCTTTTAAAGCACTTTTAATGAAAAGTTCCAGCTACTTAGATTAGAGCTACTTGTCAATAGGAAGTAATCCGCACTACTGTTTATTATTCTGTCATCACAACATCCTAAATCAGGGGTGTTCAACCTTGGCAACTTTATAACTTGTGGATTTGTCCATGCTGGCTGAGGAATTCTGGGAGTTGAAGTCCACAAGTTGTAAAGTTGCCATGATTGGACAAATAATTTGAAATGAATGATACTGGGGAAAAAGATACTTTCCTAAAATATTTATACCCACAACAACTGGATGGCTGAATACATTTGGACAGATGAGGATCTCTCTGTTGTTCCAGGTTTAATATATGAGTTGCCAGGGAGGAAAATGTCTATCTCCTTAAAACTCATTTGGAATTAAAAGCCTTTATAAAGCAATTTGTAATACAAGTAATCCTTGACTTACAAACACAATTGAGCCCAAAATTTCTGTTGCTAAGTGAGACATTTGTCTTTGGAGATTCTCAATCATCCAGGTTATGGTTGTCCTAAAGGTGCTTTTTTTCATGAGGCAACTGAAGTTTCTTATTTTTCTTTGAAGACATTTTGCTTCTCATCCAAGAAGCTTCTTCAGCTCTGACTGGATGGTGTGGAATGGACGGATTTATATTTCAAGGAGTATAAATCCTTACATTCCCCACCATCCAGTCAGAGCTGAAGAAGTTTCTTGGATGAGAAGCGAAACGTCTTCAAAGAAAAACAAGAAAGTCCAGTTGCCTCTTGAAAAAAAAGAATCTTTGGGACAAGTGCTACATTTGCTGAGTGAGTTTTGCCCCATTTTATGGCCTTTCTTACAGCAGTTGTTAAATGAATCACTGCAGTTGTTAAATTAGTAACACAGTTGTTAAGTCAATATGCTTCTTTATTGACTTTGCTTGTCAAAAGTCAATAGTTACAAAAAAAGTCAAGGTTACAAAAGATAGACACATGACCACAGGACACTGCACCTGTTGTAATTATGAGTCAGTTGCCAAACATCTGAATTTTGTTATAAGCCAAGGACTGCCTGTCAGAAGATATAATAAAATGAACTGAGTTCCATCGAAATCAAATACAAAATTAAGTGTTTAATGCATGCTGATTTCAATATGGGTTAAATGAGCTTAACTTTTTTCTCACATGTGCCCAGAGATTGGAATTGTTTATGACACTTCACAACCAGGTAGTTGATTGGAATCCCTAATTCTGAATAATTAATGCTTGAGTCAGCTTCTAATTTTAGAGAATTTAGGTATTTCAGTATTGTTCATTTAAGTTGAATTATATAAAATATTCAATGCATTATTTTATCAGAACATAAACCAAAGCATTTGATGGATTCTCAAACAAAAAAATTCATACAGTATGAAATATTCTCCAAGAAAGTATAGCTTTCTTCTCTTCTCTAAGCTCTATTTCCAATAATTTCTTCCATAAGAGGTTGCCATGACAATGATAATTATTCTTGATCAGCAGCATACCATAATTACTGCAATAAAGTTATGTAAAGCTTGCCACAACATGTGTGAGCAAGACATCTTCATGTCAATTATATGCTTTCATTTTTTTTCAGATGAACTCAGTGCCTTTAGTAATGAAATTCTAGCAAGCAAAGTGTGAAACTGAGTTTTATATTTTTGCTAAATTAATTTTAAGAAGAAAGAAGTTGCCAGTTGCTGACAGCTGTTTAGTTTATTTAGTTTTCTTTGTGGGTTGTTGTCATTTCTTTAAATATTCATCTCTCTCATATTTCAGAACATATTTATCTTAAAGTTTTAATCTTGTTTTATTCTCATGTATTAATGCAGTGATCAATGTTCATAAATAATGTAACACAATATTCAGGGATTCAATCTGCTCCTTACAAAGGGAGCTTATAATGGCACTTTGTGACATCATAGGTTACACATGAAAAACAAAATCAAACTATAGTGAAGAATGGTATGTTGCCAACCTTGAATACTGAAGACAATCCTTTACTGTGGTATTTGTCAGCTTTAGGATGGGTGGATCCTACTGGATCAACCCCCAGAATCTTAAAATTATCAAGGCTGAAAAACACTGCTCTAAAAGCCAAGGTGGCACAGTGGTTAGAATGCAGTACTGCAGACTACTTCTGCTGACTGCCGGTTGCCTGCAATTTGGCAGTTCGAATCTCACCAGGCTCAAGGTTGACTCAGCCTTCCATCCTTCCGAGGTTGGTAAATGAGGACCCAGATTGTTTTAGGGCAATATTCTGACTCTGTAACCTGCTTAGAAAGGGCTGTAAAGCACTGTGAAGCTGTATATAAGCCTAAAAGCTATTGCTATTGATGCCAGTGGTTCAGATCTGAATAGCTTTGCAAATTGGGTCTCTGTAGATGCAAATTCAGTCAGGTGAGTGAATTCATACTGGGGAACATGATTCATACTGGTGAAATGAACAATTCTCTTTGTTTATGAAGTTAACATTATATACCTTGATAAAGCAATTGTTGCCTTGAAACTTTTCAGGCCAGCTCTGTGGAACTACTCTCAGTAATCATCAAAAGTAGCCAACTAAGGAGACCATTGATGTGTTCATTCCAGGTTGAATGGCCTTGGCATGTGTGGATTGTGGCTTTGCCTGCAGGGTACTGAAATCCCCTATCCTGGAAGATCTTCAATGTATGTTAAATGGCCTCGAGGCTAAGCAAGTCTGCAATGATTCAGACTGCAAGGCAGGTACTTGTAACAGATGCTGAAACTGCCCAACTCGCAGTCATTTCAGCCAATGCTGAGAAGAAATCTTGTCTTGGTCTTCTTCTAAAATGTGAGCTCTGGAAGAGAAGACTTTGAATCTTCTCTAGAGGAGAAGACTCAAAGACTCTAGAGGAGAAGACTCTAGAGCTCTAGAGGAGAAGACATATAAAAGGTAGAACATCATAAAACAACATGGTAGTCTTGGTTTTTACAAGCAAGGGGGATACATGAAAAACACTTTTAAATGGGTGCTTTGCTTGGTAAAGTAAAAAAAAAATCATTCAAGATTTGGAAATGATTCTCTTACAGATAATTTGGGGATAGGCTTCTGCTACCTGGAACCAAAAACTTTTTTGTGTGGACTATATCAGTTTTTAAGAAAGAAAGAAATAATGAATGAGAATAAGGATTAATACATTTATACATTTAATAACTATCTGCATTTTAACAAATTTGTAGAAGAAATTCCATAGAAATCCATAGAAAATAATATTTTAAAAATTATTAAAATATGTCATATACATCGAGTTGGCCCACTTGCCTGAAAACATTTGTTCTACACACGTTTTCCATTTCACAAGGCTCCATCTTTTTCTTCCACAAGATGAGTGGCACAGGATCAGTGTTTCGTTGTATGTAAAACATGCTGATGTCTCTGTCCAAACAAGAGAGTGATTCGTTTGTTCATCTTTGCTGAAGGAAATGTTGGAAGTTGCAGAAACAGATCAAAGAGCTGACAAGGTGAGTTGGTCAAGTATTTCCCTTTCATCTGGATATATTGTTTGTGACATACCATTCCTCAAGGGGAGGAAGGTTTCTAATCACTTTAAGAAGGAGATGACAGGGAAGAGGAAAAGGAAAGATTAAGGATCACCCATAAACAAATTGCAGTGAATGGACAGATAGAATGGCAGAGAGAGGTTGATAGCTTCAATACAATGGAAAAAAGACAAAGCTGTGTCTAGTGAGTAGAGTCAATGTATTATTTTTATCTATAGAAAGAATACAGGCAGCTCCATTTGCAACTTATTAAATTATTTATACAATAAATTATCTGATAATTTTATGAGGCTGAAAAGTAGAGATATAAAATAAATCAAAAGTTAAGTGCATTTTAATTTTTAATTAGAATTTATACTGGTTAAATTTGGCCCAATTTTCCATGTTCTCAACTGAGTTCCAAACTGATCAATATAGAAGAATGTTCCAGTTTATTAAATCACATTTATAGCTTACTCTACACTAAAGCTAGATAGAGTTATGGAATTCAGAAAATCAAAACTATTATGTGTGTGTGTGTTTTAGAGCAGGGTTGATCTTCAAAAGAACTTCTTATTCTGATCATGATTCAAATGAAATGCTCTTCCAAAGAGTAAGAGTGTTGTGGTGCCCTGCTTCTAAGTAATGGAACTGCCCCAGGATCATGAAGGTAGACCAATTACACTCCACACTGTTCTGTTTCCTATCCATTTTCTGAATGACATCAGAGGTATACAGTACTCTGAAAGTATAAGGGCTCATCGGCTGCAATTCAGCATCAATGTCTCAAAGCATGTTGCTTTGTAATAGTGGTGAAGGTTGCTTTCTTTATGATTGATCTCAGAGCAGGACTCCAAGCACTGCAGTTTATAGCCCTTGTTTAAATACAATGCACATTATGAATGTAAAGTTGAGTGTAAATCCAGTCATATTATTTCACTGAATCATTCCCCCACCCCCCAAATTTGTTTTTCAAAGAAGACCTAAGAATTGGTATTACATGGACTTAGATTTTCTTTAAAGCAATTTTTATTTTGAAATTATTAAATTAAGTATTTTGTACTCAAACTCCCCTGATAGGCCCTGATTGGTTTCTTAGATTTGATTTCACTTTTTCTCTTGAGCACAAGATAGCTTCTTCCCTTCACTACACCCCAAACCAAGATAGACTGGTTTACAAAAGACCCCTAAGTTGCTTTGCGAACTTCATGGCTGATGGTAGATCTACATTGTTGATCCCAATGTACATTTTGTATGCACCTCTCCTCAAGAAATACTCTCAATGAGGATCTATTTGGCAAAAATAAAAAACCTTACTATTTCAAAGGTATTCCTCAGATGGGGGAAAAAAAAGCTTTGTCTTCCTTTTTAATAAATATAGCATCATAGATTCCCATGATCGTTAAATAAAATCAGTTCTGATTGTACCACTACTTCATGGAAGAAAATAATACAAAACATTCCCACCTATGGTTCCTACAGTAGCCTAGCTGCAAAGCAGAAAAGTTATTAGCCTAAAGCCAATCTCTGTAATGATAATGAAGAACATCTTGTTATTGAGAATTTGTGAGGCACCTGCTGCATATATCTAAATATGTTTTCATGTAAGTCAATTCACATCACCCCAGTGTTATCATTTTTGCTTTAGTGGAAATAAAAAAAGATTGAGGGCAAGTACTCGCTATATAAATATTTATATAAAATCAAACTGTTCTCTGTGAGACTCACAGATGTACAGCCAAATCTCAATAATAAATGTAGTAAATAGTTAAATAGCCTTGAGTCAAAAAGTGGAAGTGTTTAGACAGATGGTTGGTGTACTGAAATGCCTCATTTTGCTACTGATGCTTTCCCAGAGATGGACACAGCATGAGATGAAGCTATATTTTATAGTTTCATACTAAAGTTTTGGAAGTCACTGCAGTGATCAGCCAGAATGTGGCCTTTCACTGGCTATTTAGGGAACATTTGGTTTAAGTAGAAAAAATGATTTCATTACTGGGAGCTAAATATAACACAAACTTTTGATTAATTGCAATGCCAAAATAAAGAGAGTAAAAGAATTGAAATGGAAATGGGCTTGTCACAGAGCAAGAAAAATTGATGGTAGGTGGAGCAAGGCAGTCATAGAATGGATCCCACTTGATAAAAAGGTTGATGAAAGAGACCTTAAACAAGATGTCATCAGCAAGTATTGCGGGCAAAAGAAAGCTCAGGACCATATTGGTTGGAAACATGTGGAAGAGGCTTTCATCCTGCAGTGGATACACAATGGCTAGAAAGGATGATTATGATGAAGATAATGATGATGATACACACACACACACACACACACACACACATTATACATATCTATTTTTCTCATAATGATGCAAGATGCTACTTTAACTTATATTCAGAATAGTGACTGAGCTTCTCCTTAAATTGTTGGAGTTGGGTCGTAAGCATATCAATGATAAAGGAATTTCTGGGGAAGGCATGTTGAATTGAAAATGTTTTCACCAAAGCGGAGCTGACAACTGTGGCAAAATACAAGTAACTGGTAAGTAAGCTGGTTCTTCAGAATCTCCCTAGATAAAGAGAGGCTGAGAGATCACCCACTTGTGTTCCAGACAGCTGCTCCTTGGTAGGAAACCCCAGGACAGTGATTTTCCATGGGTTTGGGCAATGGGAGTCAAGGAATTAGCCACATCTTGCCTCCAACCATAGAGGACCCTTTTGCAAATTGCACTTTCTAATCATTTTGCTCATGCTTTGGCGCTTCCTGCTTGCATCTGGATGATTATCATGAGATATTTGGCTTGGCCCATCAAGTCTTTTCTCCCATTCATATTGGATGCCGGAAGTGTTATCATAAGATAGAATGATAAATCTATGTCCATATGTATATATTCTCTCTCAAGCATGAATTAACATGGTTAAAACATTGAATCAGATTGGAGAATTACAACAAAGCAAAACCACCAACCTGTAAGAACCTACTTTGATAATATTACCCGCAAAAATTACAGTATATGGACCTGTGCATAAATTTAGCAGAAGACAAGCTCAGTTTGATTATGGTTGACTTTTCTGAAAAATTGCTTGAGTAGTGCAGCTAGATCTGAGATGCCTGAGGGTGATGTCTATACAATGTACCAATTACCTTATCAATTATCTCTCATTGGTAAAATGGCTGAACAAGTGCTTTGTGAGCAAATATTCTCTGCATCAAATAAGGAAGACAGGAACCTTATATGATGTGTTGAAGAAAGAAGTGCGTTGTCAGGAGGCTAGAAGTAACTGTGTCTCCCCATCTAAAGTTCATTAGGCAGAGACTGAAGCGAAATAAGTTCCCTTTTCTAGTTAAAAACAAAATAAGCCTTAATTACAACACAACAGACATCTATCCAAGTATATGCTAGAACCACTTCATCTGGTGATTTGCTAAGCTGCTTTTCTGTAGCACATAATCAGGGACATCTGCAGGAGGACTGAAAAAAAGGCCAATGGATGCAAAGATGTAATCAAAGCCCCATAATTTTTTATGTGCATTTAACACTCCTGTGGACTAACTTGATCATTTTAAAAAAATATATGCTGGAGAGGATACAGAGGAAAAACTTTTTTTTAAAAAAAAATCTGTTATAATTATCATGTTTTCATTTCAACCCTTGCTATAATATAAAGTTCATGTATATATGCAGTGGTGGGATTCAAATAATTTAACAACCGGTTCTCTGCCCTAATGATTTCTTCCAACAACCAGTTCATCAAACTGCTCAGAAAGTTAACAACCGGTTCTCCCGAAGTGGTGCGAATTGGCTGAATCCCACCACTGTATATATGTATATACATGTATATCTATTTTTTCCCTTTCTCTTTGTTTTTCCTTTTATTGTTGTTGCTTTTTAAAGTAATAATTAAATAAAAAAGGCTTGGCAGAAGAGAGTGCAACCTGATCAGCCAAAGGTTTCTGAGCACTGGACCTCATGAAAATCACCTTTTTCTTCCCTATGGAAGACGTGGCGGCCTATTTCTAGAATCATTTGGAAGACATCTGCAGTTCACGGATAATGCCCACAAACTGGGCATATTTAAAAGGAAAACTTCCTTTTGCTTACCAAAACAAGGTGCAAACACAGAACACAATACGCTGTTGGATCACTCACTGAACACTCAAAAACCCTAATACTGCATTCAGTTGAGTTCTGCTAGAAGACAAAGTAGGTAATCCTTTCCATTCTCACAGAGTTTATTTTGGTTCAACTAATGTTTCTTGCTGATTTTAAAATAGAAGTTGGGTAAATAAAACAATGCATGATCCACAGGACAGGTTACTGCAGCACTGAAGTATACTTAATGAATCTTTCATCGGTTCTTTTCACCTGATCAAATAAATGCTCGTGACCACTGAACCCTCACTTCAGTGGAAATTAGCAATAATGTGTCTTTTTAAAGCTTTGGTGCCCTATTTTGACAACACAAAATTGACTACTATATAATACTCTCTATCCATGCATATTAGAAATGTCACTCAAGTATCCAGTTGCTGATTTGCAGATAGTTTACTTTTAAAAGCTTCTGGGAAGGAGCTATATTTAGGAAGTAATAAAAGGGCCTTAATAAAAAAACAAGTTCATCTGGTCTTTACCTTAAACCTTTAGTTCACTTTCAGAAAGGTGAGATGAAAGTGTGGGGCAACCATGGCTTATATATCAGTTTACCCACTTTCTTCTGTACTATTTCTTGAATCAGAGAATGAAGAAACACAATTCTACAAAATGCCACATCTTCATGGCCTAGTTTTACAAAGGGATAGAGAAGTTAAGATAGGGTGCAGTCAAGCATTTCTACTTGCCAAACCCCATGTCTGAGATCACATCAGACTATATCTGAATATTTCAGATTATTATTATGAAACAGATGATAGAAAGATAGACAGACAGACAGACAGATAGTAATAGCACTTAGACTTATATATTCACAGTGCTTTATAGCCCTTTCTAAGTGGTTTACAGAGTCAGCATAGTGCCGCCAACAATCTGGGTTCTCATTTTATTGACTTCGGTGGGATGGAAGGCCAGTGAGACTCGAACTCCTAGAATGAGCATTGAATTAGCCTGCAGTACTGCATTATAACCACTGCATCATGATAGATAGATGATAGATAGATAGATGATAGATAGATACTGTAGATGATAGATAGATGATAGATAGATGATAGATAGATGATAGATAGATGATAGATAGATGATAGATAGATGATAGATAATAGATAGATGATAGATAGATAGATAGATAGATAGATAGATAGATAGATAGATGGTAGATGATAGAAGATAGATAGATAGATAGATGGTAGATGATAGAAGATAGATAGATAGATAGATGGTAGATGATAGAAGATAGATGATAGATAGATAGATGATAGATAGATGATAGATAGATAGATAGATGATAGATAGATACTGTAGATGATAGATAGATTGATAGATAGATAGATAGATAGATAGATAGATAGATAGATAGATAGATAGATAGATAGATAGACAGACAGACAGATTGATCGATAGATCCCCATCAGGGGTGGTATTCACTTACCTTCGCTACCGGTTCGCAAATGTGAGTGTGTGCACAGAGCCTGCCGCGCATGCGCAGAGTGTCAAAAATGTGGATAAATGGAACGTGATGACATCTGGGCGGGTGTGTGGATCCTCCCACAGCTGCCGCTACCGTTTCGCCTGAACCGGATAGAACCGGCTGAATACCACCACTCATCCCCATGTTCTCTCATTGCCTTCCACTTATTAGAATGTCTGAGGTGGAGAATCTGTCTATTCATAGAGAGAGGTTCCATAGAGAAGTTTCCCCACTTGAAATGCTTGTATCGACTCGTAGAAGAGAAGAACAAGAAGGTGAGACTACTATGCTCATTCCTGTCTCCTTTAGAAAAACCTATCCTCTTGTTCACCCTTTTATTTTATTATTTATATCACCTCCCATGTGCTTGCTTTCCAGATCTGACACAATCTGAAATTCAGATGTATTAAAAGGTGACTTTTATTTTGGGCGGAACAGTGTTTATCTATATGTAATGGGAACCTTTCAGCCTTATTTCTCTCCTTGTTAAAATTTAGTGTTTCTTGGTTATTTGTGATGAAGAAGTGCAGCAACTCTGACCACAGCCTGTTTATCTGTCACCTTGTTCTTTTCTTAACAAACTAACTGAGTTTAGCACACTCACCCTTGATGTCTGCACAGGACTTTCATACTCTTCCTTTCGTGGACATTGTTCTTTATAGTTTGCTTGTTTTTGTTTTTTTTTCATTATTGGAACCTTATAATGCAGAATGAAATGGAAAATTAATTTTTGTGATGACCTTGGAAAAATCATTCCCCTTTAGACTGATCCTTTTGCAAGGCTTTAAAGAAGGGGTGTGGGGCCTTGAGTTTGACACCTCTGCTTTAAAGTGTTTAATCTCTGTAAAGTTTTGTCACTGAGCCTGTGGATCTGGGTGGTGTCTGAGCCTATGAAATTGCTGTATCAATCTATGTTGTGGCTTTTTATTTGGCTATGGATTACAAATATGTTGATGGTTCCTAATTTCTTTAGGCTTTTATGTTATTTTTGATTATTGTTAGCCACCCAGAATCATGAATTTGAGATGGGTGGCCATATAAATGGAAACAAATAAATGAATAAATAAGTAGACATCAGGATGTTATTTACCTAGATGCTTTCATTTCTTATATCACTTTATTTTCCAGAAAATAAATTCAGCTCCATCAGGTTTCATTCCCCTTTAGAGGTTTCCATAAGTAATTCAGATTTCACTCAATATTAAATGTAGTGATTAGAAAAGCAATCAAGTTTAACTGAAGCTATTTTCTTATTTGTAGCATTTGATAGCATTATCCAATCATTGCTGTAAGGTACCATAATGAAGACATTTATTATGTCTTCATTATATCACCACAATACAAGAAGCTATAAATCACTAATAAGGAAATGGCCACAAAGCAAACTAGAGACTATCCAGTTTGAGTTGGAACTAAATTCAAAGCAAGATTTAGAAGCATAAACATAATTCCTCCTATTGGCTGCCATCGGAAATCCACATATGGATGACATTTTAAGATATATATAACTGAGTAAAATCTCTAGGCAAAGAGATTGAAGGGATGAAATTTGGCAAAGTTCAGAGACATATGCGCAATACGGTGGCTTTGATGCTGGAATGCTTTGCATTCTGATTTTTGTAAAGTGTCTTCTCAAGTTCAAGACCAGACTTGTAGGAACATAGCACTCTCAGTGCCTGTCTATGCTAGGATATTTTCAAAGTATAGTTAAATAACATACCTGGGATCTGTTGTCCCCTTAAAGTGGGACTATGCTGCATTCTCTGATGACTTGGATCTATTGCCTTAATGCTGGTCCTCTACTTACAGTAATCACTGGTTTATGATAAACATCAGAGAACCATCTGGCGGTATGGGTGCTTCTGTTTTGGTTTTTCCCCAATCTTCATTAATATGGCCTTCTGCAAGAGAGCAAATAGGTGGAAGAGATCTCCTATCTGCTGATCAGCTTAGGTCACCAGTGACTCCCTTAGGAACCTCAGTGCCCACTAGAAATCTTCTTCCACATCTTCTGTGAATGGATTCACTGCTGCCAGGGTTTCTGTTCCAATTTCTCAGTTATTCAGTTTCATCTCCTCCCCCCAAAACATCCCTTTTCTGGTAGCTTCAGAAATGGCAGTAGCTATCTTTTTCCAAACAGCTCCTATCTGCAAATAATAGATCAATATTTATAGCTTCTTTGAAGATACAACATTTCAACTGAACTAAGCACAGGACCAACAACTTCTGACTCTGCTTCTTCTACCTAGTAGTACCACCCATGGTTTACTATAATCTCAAAACTCATCATATTGATTCTAAAAAGTGTGGTTACTTAGAATACGCTTCACTAGATAAAAATACTTTTGTATGTCACTCAGCTCACACCAGTTTTTACATGCAAAATAAATGTTTGCACAAGTAATACAATTTACAAAACAAACTAAAGAATTCACTCACCACAAAACATTATGTGAATTATGTATAATTTTACTGATATGTGTTAGTCTAAGAACTAGATGAGATAACATAGAACATGATTTGACTGGGCCAAAAGTGGAAGAGGGGTGGGGGAAATGATACGGATTAAAGTAGCATAAAAACATACCAGTGACATCAACAGAACATGAAAGTTAACTTCTAGAGTCAGAATCAGATTGTGAAAGAATCAGATGAGCACAAAAAGGAAAATCCTCATGGAATGTAGAGAATGTGGTTAGTTGGAAGGAAAAATATGAAACACCAAAAATGTTTGGAAATTCTCAGTCATCGCTGGCCATGGTTGTTCCAAAGGTGCTTTTCAAAAGGCAACTGGACTTTCTTGGGTTATTTTCTCCTAAAAACATCCAAGAAGCTTCTTCAATTCTGGTGAATCTTGGCTGAGAAGTGAAATATTTTCAAGGAAAAAATCAAGAAAGTCCAGTTGCTTTTTGGAAATCTCCTTTGGAAACAGCAAAAACTGTAACTCCCATCTGTAATTTCATGAAAGCTTTTCACACATTCCTATTTAGCTGAGAAAGAACAAGGAAAAAGCATAGAAGAGAATAACAAATTATTCTCCAAAATCTCTGATTAAGAAAAGGTGGCATCTTTTTCACTGCAGATCGAAACAACATCTATCAGTTATCCAGTTCCTCCTCTTCCTTCCCTCCCTTTCTAATGTTCTCCATGCACACAAAGGCAAAAGAATATTTGTTTGTTTCAATATCAGTATCAATTTTCAATTCCAGATCAATATCAAGTCTACATTTGTATCAAATCTATTAAATATTTAAGTATGTGTATATCAAATGATAAAACTCAATTAGTAGTATATAATATAAATACAATATATAGAGTTTTTTTTATAGATCACTAGATGGGAGTAATTAAACGTCACCATTTAGGGAAAGATGAACATTCCCAAAATTAATATTATTTCCAGATTAATTTATATTCTGCAGGAATTGAGTTTATATATCTGGAAAATATTTTCAGAAAATAAATTATTTGTTGATAAAAATTTTATGGAGTTCTTAAATTTTGAAAATATATTTACAGAAAATGCAACTACCAATCAATGAAGTATGATTTAATTTTCTGGATATGGATTTAGAGGTTTCTAAAAAAATCTCTTTCTCCTACCATCCATTCACAGTGTTTGACTTACCTACATTTCAGTATAGTAATGCCAGCCATGCTTTGGAAGTTGATTTAAATTACTCTTCACATGTAAGTAGGCGAAGGGTGTGGAAAAAATAACATATCATTACTATGATACATCTTCATTTCTTTAAATGCGCTGAAGTGTTTGTCAGCTCCATGTAAAATACCAGGTAGGTATAAATGAAAAGCACATTCTTTGGCTGGTGATACAGAGGACATGAAAACAAAAATGCTAACGAGCCATTCCAGGTTTGCTTCTTTCTCATTCCAAAAAGGCTCTATAATCAATTTAGAAATGGATGTTAGATAGACGTTTTAGAAGGAGATTTTTTTCTCTAAAACTATCACCAAAATCAAATGATAAAGAGAGGCATTTTCACCATAATGTGTGATTTTAACAGCTTTGGAGATATTGCTACATAAAACACTGTTAAAAAGAAATGTTTTTTTGTTAAATTTTGTCTATTATCAAAACAGATAGGATGACTAAAGCAGGATAGAAATACAAGATAAAAAGACTGTGGACAACCTTCAAGGCAATTAACAGAAAGCATGCCCGTGGTTGAATATAGTGTACAATTTTATTTGGTTTTGATTTTTATCAGTTCAAATTTTCTAACTAGTAGTTTGGGATATAGTTATCCTCTAAATTCCATATTTATACGATTTTGTCCATACTTCTAGGTTGACCAAAGTTTGTACATTCTTTTATTATAGAAAATTTCGTACCCCACCCTAATATATCAGTTGAATTTGCAGCTGTTGTACCAATAGCAATAGTACTTTGACTTATATACCGCTTCACAGTGCTTTGCAGCCCCACTTTAAGCAGTTTACAGATTCAGCATATTGCCCCAACAATCTGGGCCCCCATTTTACTGACCTTGGAAGGATAGAAGGCTGAGTCAACCTTGAGCCTGTCAGAATCGAACTGCCAAACTGCTGGCAGCCAGCAATCAGCAGAAGTAGCCTGCAGTACTGCATTCTAACCATTGCGGCACCACAGCTCTTTGCTGCACAGCAATTTTTCTCTGCCTAAGCTCTTTGATGCCATTTCTGGGTTTTGTCCACCCCCACCACCCCCATTTGGATTTCTGTAATGCACTCTACGTGGGGCTGCCCTTAAAATGTATTTACAAGCTTCAGCTTGGTGCAAAATGCCACTGGGGTAAAGTGCAGTTATCTGTATGCTAGAGAGGTACAGATCACACCTCTGCTTTCTGAGCTGTGTTGGTTGCCAAACTGCTTCCATATCCAATACAATTTAATTCATGGAGATAGTTTTGACCTTTAAAGCCTTCATGGATGGGTTATCTGAGAGACCACCATTCCCAGATGACATCTGCCTGCCCCATCAGGTCTGGAAGAGAAGGTATTCTGCAGGTCTCCTCTGCCAGGAGAATTTACATCTGGCAGATTCCAGGAGGCGGAGATCATTTTCTGTACAGCATCATCTAATTATGAACTCTGAGCTGCTGGAAGCTACTTACTCCTGCTGTAAAACCTGTAAATTAACCAGCTGCCTTAATTTAATGACAAGGAAGGTTGAGCTACTCAGACAGCGACATAAGCTGTAATCTAAATTCAAAGGGGAAAGGGAAAGTTGTTGGATTAAGATTTTAGCTCCATGTAGGGACAACAGAAAGATATAATCTTTGTGATGATAAACACAGCAAAAGGGGGGTGGGGAACAGGACAGTACTAGATATTACTTTGAGCAGCCCAGCCTGTTTTTTTTTTTAATGAGATACCTTGAAACATGATTTGATTCAACTTGGGCGTTCTCCTGGATTCACGGCTGTCTTTAGAAGAGTACTTGACGGCCGTGACCGGGAGGATTTTCCATCAGGTTCGCCTGATTCGCCAGTTGCGTCCCTTTCTGGATCGGGACTCCCTACGCATGGTCTCTCATGCCCTCGTCACCTCCTGCTTGGACTATTGTAACACTCTCTACATAGGGCTCCCCTTGAGGAGCACCCAGAGGCTCCAACTGGCACAGAGTGCGGCCGCGCAGGTGGTAATGGGAGCGACATGGCGTTCCCATGTAACACCTCTCCTGCGCGAGCTGCACTGGCTCCTGGTGGTCTTCCGGGTGCGCTTCAAGGTTTTGGTTACCACCTTTAGAGTGCTCCATGGCTTAGGACCTGGTTATTTACGGGACCGCCTACTACCACCAATAGCCTCCCACCGGCCGGTATGCTCTCATAGAGAGGGGCTCCTCTGGGTGCCGTCGGCCAAACAATGTCGACTGGTGGCTCCTAGGGGGAGAGCCTTCTCTGTGGGGGCACCTACTATCTGGAACAAGCTCCCTCCGGAGATACGGAGGATCCCGGATCTGCGCACCTTCCGCCGCGCTCTTAATACCTTTTTATTCCACCAGGAGGGCCTGGCCTAATCTTTTCCCTCTTTTTAATTACACAAATTTTAATTGGTTTTTTAAATGATTGGGGTTTTAATACATTCAGGCCAAATTTGTTTAATTTGATTTTACTTTGTTTTTAAATTTTGTATCTATGTATTTTTACCATTTGGCTGTTCACCACCCTGAGTCCTTCGGGAGTAGGGCGGTATATAAATTAAATAAATAAAATAAATAAAATATGAGCTAACAAAATGATAGAGTATTTATTGCAAAATTGCAGGACAGCATTAGAAAATGCAGTGTAAGTTCTATTCTTTAGCTTAGCCTTTCTCATATTTTGCTGATTATGATTTTGCCCCTCAAGAAATACTGGATGTTATACTAAATTTATGTTTTCAACCATAAAAGGAAAAAAAAAACGTGTTTTTTTTTTGCCAAAATCAATGGATGTTGATGAAAGCTATATTCCTTTTGCCCACATATTATTGTTTTTCCACTTTATGGATTACCTGGCAAGTTTCCTTCTTGAGGGCTCTGTTCTACAAGGAATAAGTGGATGATAATTTAGGTCCAGTTTGTGGACTCATTCAAACTATTGATCATTTGTTATAGAATTATATTAGATTTCTTGCTGATGAGAGTTTTTTTTGTTGTTGTTCTTTTTGTTTTATCGGTTCCTCTATTTCATCATGGCTGGATTTCTCTGGGATCACAGCTGTTAGTTGTGTTAGCAAAAAATAGTTTATGTTCAATTATCCCACCTCTGTGAAACATTGTAAATTTGTCTGAAGGTTTTCTAAAGAATGGTGTTTGTGAAAGAAAGAAAGAGAGAGAGAGAGAGAAGGAAAAGGAGGAGGAAGAGGAGGAGAAGGAGGAGGAGAAGGAGAAGGAGGAGGAGGAGGAGGAAGAGGAGGT